TTGTGACGATGAAGGACACTTTTGTAAAGTTTGAGAAAAAACTATAAGAGGAAAGGATTGAACAAAAAAATGTGCCAAAAAAGTAAGACCACCAATTTGAAGATCAAAAAATAAAAATAATTCTCCCATGTCCGCTAATTATTTATCTACATTTTTTTTGGGATAATGTCCAAGTACCCCCTCAACATATGCCCGAAATCTCAGAGACACACTTATACTATACTAAGGTCCTTTTACCCCCCCGAACTTATTTTATTAATAATTTTTTACCCCTTTTTAGCTTACGTGGCACTATCTTGTGGGTACAACGATGGTTGACTTTTTTTTCGAACTAGTGTCACGTAGGCTAAAAAGGGGTAGAAAATTACATATAAAATAAGTTCAGGGGGTAATAGGACCTTAGTATAGTATAAGTGTGTCTCTGGGATTACGGGCATAGGTTAAGGGGGTACTTGGGTATTTTTCCTTTTTTTTTGAACAATTTCTTTTTACCCGTTATACCATCATTTAGTTCAAATATTAAATTTTAATTCATTCATTTTATAATTAAAGGAGTAAAATGATAAATTCATTATGTCAATCTTAATAAATGTGTCAACTTAAAAGTGAACAAATAATTAAAAAAACAAAAGAAGCAGGTTAAACGTCACTTATAAAACTCTTTATATTTTTATCTACATAAATATTTCTAAAGAAAATAACAAAATAAAAATATGAGATATTCAGATTTAACGTAATATTATCAACAAGGCAAAGCTTTAATCTCAAATTAGTTGATGTAGCATATTTGATTTCCTATCTGATGTACGGGTCCATACATTCGAAATCGACTATTCTTAATTCGCACTGCTAAATTTGTACTCAAGAGAAATTAAAAAAAATAAAAATAAAATTCATACTCAATACTCGAACTTGATATTTATAATGAATCTGTTATTATAGCTTCATATTCTCTCTTAAATTCTTTTATTTATCTTAAAATATTTAGTTTCGATTTTAATTAGTCAATTAACATTTACCAACAAAAAAAATGCACTTTTAGATGTTGCTTCATATATTGGATATAAGTTGTAACATCTTTTTTCAAATAGATATGAGTTTCACTTTTTTTTAGAGTTCTTTTATATATTTCAGTTACTAATTACTTGTTTATTTTTTCTTTTATAGTTGTCTCTAATTACTTATCCATTTTTGATAAATTAAGAAAGGACAATTTTTTTAACCTATTATATCCTCAATTAAATGACTAATTACTTTGAAAAATATAAAAAAAAATTCATCCACTTTATAACTAATAGGGGTAAAATTATAAACTCATTATGCTATTAATTATTTTCTTAATAGATGTGTCAGTTAAAAGTGGACAAGTAAAAAAGGAACGAGAGAGTATATGCAAAAGATGTTCCTTTGGCATGATATAGTATTGATAATTATGATTTTTGAAAAATAGTTTATTGCCATTATCATATTAAATTAATTTGGTATAGTTAGTTATTTTACAATATGGTATATCGATAACTATAGTTATTTGATTTTGACTTACATTTATTCTTACTAATAAAATTTATGATTTTGACTTTTCAAGAAACGTGTCAATCATATCATAATAACATCTTAAACATGAAGAAATATTAAAAAAAAAAGAAAGTACAGGCAATATTTTCCCTTAATTACTTAATCGTTTACTTAAAAAGACATTTTACTCAAAGTATAGTAATCAACATTCCAACATTCGAATAATTAGTTTTGTACTAATATTGTTTTATATATTTATTAGTATTATAATAATATATGTGAATTGTATACTATATATTTTGATATGGTATCCGATATTTTAATTTTTTTTTGTAAATACCAAATACAATATCTTTTTAAAAATGAATACCAAATACTTATCTACTACACCATGTCCGACCCTAAAGCACATTCATCTTTCTCTATAACAATTATACTATAATAATCATATTTTATTCGAAATCGATCTTTTTTATATTATGTTATTTTATATATTCATTATAATAATATTTCTATATATCTAGATAAACGATGCCAAACAATTGTTTTTAATAGTAAAATGGGATGATAGCTTTTGTCAATAAGGTAACTAAAAGGAAGATAGGTTTTGCCATTTGGCGTCTCGAGTCCATATTGGGGCTATAACTAAATTCGAATCGCGCTCTGCAGGGCCTATTTAGGGGTAGCTACTAACAAGATTTTCTTCATATCCAAGACTCGAACCCGACCTCTAATTAAGGATGAAACACTGATATTGGTTGGTGCATTTGATATAGGAATATGTAGCCATTTGTGTATGCTTAATAAACCACATGTGTAGGATATTACAAGCAGTATAAATCAAGATTAATGACTTGAGCTACTAGAGTACTAGGCAAAATCTTCTTATTAAACCCTAATGGATTCAAGTGGTCCAAATTTCTTCATGTGCAATAAAAGTTTAGTTATTTTTAGGTATGGGGATAATTAAACTTTGAGGTGGACCTTGGACATATTGTAGGTAGTAGTTTCATAACGTTTCAACTAACTAATTCATGGGGTGGGGTGAGGGATGTTATAGGTATTAATCCGACGTAGCGTATTTATATTAGGATTGACTAAAATTGAATTCGAGCCGAAAAGTATCATAGCGTTTTTTAACAAAGAAGACTCTGTTTCGAACTTGACTAGAATTTCAGGTCTTTGAAGGATCAAAGAGTAATTACAACTCACTTGAGATATACGTAGTATGCATATTATATATATTAGGTTAATATGCAACTCAAATTAATTTATGATAAAACTTGTCAATATACTTAAGAATTCTTTTGTTTGTTAATTTGACATAATAAGGGTGGGGGTGAGGGGGATTATTAGGTAATTAAACTATAACAAAAAACAAATAAAGAAAAATAAATTGTAGTTGGCTATGACCTATCATTTAGCATATTTTGTTAACTCAACTCATTTCGACTTAAATATCTTTAACCAGTTCATATTTAACTCATTTTATTTTGACCGTTCAAATTTAGTCCAACTCGATTTTTCGATTCTACTAGTATTATTATTTACTTATTTTAACTTAAGAGGGGCATTATCTTTTTTTCGGCATAATACATGTATTGGACTCTAAAATTGACTTCAATTTTAACTTTGACCTCAAACTTTCATAGTGCACAAATAGACACTTTAACTATTCCATCTTTCAATAAATAAACACGCGATTCCTATCTGGCAAAATGCGTGAAATGCACACTCTGCGCGAGTGAGGAGTAATTTTCGAGGCCCACAAAGGTAAAAATTGCTGAAATGACAATTTTACCCTTAATGAATCTCTTTTATATTAATTAAAATTAATTTTAATTTTTTTTAGTTTCAAAATGACATGTAAGATATTTTTTTTAAAAAAAAGAGACACTTGACAATCACTGATTGGCTCACTAATACACGTGGGAGCGTTTGCATTTTACGCACTTTGGCTCCAAAAATCGCGTATTTATTTATTGAAAGATATGATAGTTAAAGTGCCTAATTGTGCACTATAAAAATTTGAGGTCAAAGTTTTTAAAGCCAATTTTAAGGTCCAATATATGTATTATGTCATCTTTTTTCATTATAGAAGACTTTTTAGCATGAACATGATCTGTAAAATTCTATTATTATTTTTTCCATTCTGCTTTTTTAAGTAGCATGTATAGCTATATATATCAAGTTGTAATCTTTTTTATCATATGGTGGGTCGTTAATTATTCACTCTTTAAAGCTATACAGCCTAGCTATTAACTTTTGAATTGTCTAGCAAAAAAAAGGTTCTCAAAAAATTATACAACAAGAGAGGTGGTTAATAGATTCTCTAAATTATATATAAAGTACTAATTATTGATTTATCTATAAATTATAGAGCATATTATTGATTATTGGACTTATTGTTGATTGTTAAATTAGTTGTTATTTTCTAATAATTTTTTTTTTTAATTTTGGCTTAACATTTTTTAAAGTCATGATATTGTACCTTCTTTGATACTACAACTAGTTTTTATCAAATTGGACAACTAAGATATATATTATTATTGTTATTCATATCTTTGTTTATATCTATCTGTATTAGCTTTCTAGAAACCACTTGTAACACATCCAAAAGGCTTTGTGGAGTGTTAAACACTTTGTTTGTTTATTTTTATGTAGAGGTCTCGAGTTAGATCTCGAGATAAGAAATTGTCTACAATATAATCACTCCTTTCTCAAAAGAAGATTTATCAATACGAATCTAAATTAGTCGAGTTTCAATATTTACAAAAGTCGAAATAGCTTTATTTTAGGATCTTTTTTTTTCCTTTCAGATCTCGAAAGACACTACAAGTTTTTCGTCCCAAATTTTATCACCATTGTAATTTGGTTAACCCTAACCATCAAAAAGTCTTATTTTTACACTTTTAGCTTTTTAAAAGCTTATGTCCACCCTTTGACATTTGAGTTAGCAATACTTATATCTGAGTCATGCTTGTGTTATGCAATAAAGACTACTTTTTTTTTTTAATTTCTTTTCTTTAAATTATGAGAAGAAATTTGTGCTGTGTGGATAAGATAGAATGGTGGATAATTTCCCGCCAAAAAAGTAGATCTTATTCTTTTCGTCCCAAATAAAATAATATAGAATCGAGTCTTGTATGTGAGTAAGATTCTTGCAAGTTGCACGCTCAAATTAGAAAAAGAAAACGGTTAAGAAGAATGAAACCTTCAAGAAATCACGACTAGAAAACCACTAAGAAGAATTCACCCTAAAGCAAATTAGGGTCACTCTAATAGATAAGAGATGAGAACTTACAAGAGCTATTCGCGATATAAGTTATAAAAAGTACAATCTCATGCATAAAGTATTCCACATTAGGTCACATCTCAAAGGATATGATGTAGATAATATAACTTAAAACAAGTAACGTTATTAAAAAAAATAATCTAAAAGTTGATGACATTTGAATTTATATAGATGACAAAACAAGAAATTCTATCTTCTAATCTATGAAACACAATTGGCATTAAAATAGAACAAATATCTGTACAAGTTGTGTAAGCTGAGAGAGAGAGAGCAATGGGTGCTGAATCATAATGCTCTTGTCCTGTATCACTGTATCTATATTTAACTAATTGCTGATACAGAACACACCACATTTGCACACATATACATAAAATTTTGTTGTTTTTTTTCTTTTTATATGCTTTATAGTATACATATATAGACTATTTTTCTTTACTAATTAGACTTCAGATCTCCTTTGGATATATCTGCAAAAACAGAAAAAATTGTAAAAACAGTCAGTTAGTTATGTACCATGACTCAAAAGATTAAAGGAAACTACTAATCCATTCATAAAAGAGTAATCTGATAGCCCGTTTGGCCAAGCTTCTACTTTAATACGGGCAAAAAGCGTTTTTCAAATTGATTAGCTAAACACAAACGGCTACTCTCCAAAAGTACTTTTTTAAAGCAGGTTTTGGGAGCTTGAGTTGAGATGTTTGGCAAGTGTTTTTGAGTAGTAGGAGAAGTTTTTCGGAAGATGAAAAATGTAATTGTTCCCGAAAAACACATTTGAGAACTTAACAGAACACAAAATTACTGCTCTAACATTGGCAGAAGTGTTGTTTCAAATTGATTAATCAAAACACAAACTGTAACTTTCCGATACTTATGATAAGATGCATTTCTGAAAATAAACAGGCTTTGAATGTTTCGTCAAACAAGCTATGAGTATGAATCTCGAGGTAGCTAATGGTTTATCGTACAAAATGTAGTGAACTAGCAGATAAGATGATGATACGACAATAGTTAATTACCTGAAACCTGCACTGTGGAAACTGGATTTGGTCCAAAGGAAATAAAATAACAACTTCATGTGGATATGGATTCTGTAGATTTGAGTTTTACTTCAGTCTTTCTGAAGGGAGTTACTTTAAGATATCGATAAAAAGATCCGGTTTTTAATGCTGAGACCTGCATTCATGTGCTAATATGTTAGTTAATAACAGAAAATAAGAATAAGTAAAACCTAATAAATGAGTGACATGTGCTTTTTAAATCAAGATTTAGCACTTAATCATGATTAATGAACACATATTTCTATTACAATTAATCAATTAAGGAGAGTAAATCAATATCTTAGTAAGTACTTGTTCAAACCAAATGTGACCAAGTCAAAAGGCACATGGAAGTTGCAATTGGAAAGAGGACAAAAACCATGTATTGTCAGTCTCCTCCTCCTTTTTTAACAACCGTAGTGTTCGAGTCCGTTCACACACACCTCAACTAAATCCACGGGTACCTGTTACCTCCCACCAACACAAGCACATGCACACCAAGTAACACGGTCCATCAAGGTTAGAACAAGAACAACATACCTAATGAAATCCGTTAAGTGGGGTCTAAGAGAGTAGAGAGTATGCAAACCTTACAACTACCTCTAGACTGTTTTCGAAAGACCCTTAGCTCAAGCGAAGGGCTCCTCTCAAGACGCGAAAAATCAAGAGTCCTACTTCATTTCTATATTCAAATTTCCCATTAAGTGTATTGATCAAGAAAGCATGTATACAAAAAGGTTGTCTTCCTTTCTCAACCTTAGTGGACCCAAACAACTTGCAATTCCATATCCATGTTGTCTCTAAACATGATTTTCCTTAGTCCCCACTTTTCAAATTAGTTGTACTATTTCAAGTAAATAAAGAAGTTGCTGAACTGGCCATGTGACTTTTTCAACTATCACCAAAATTCAAATTTGCTAAGATCAAGGAGGATTAATAAACTTACAGCTTCAATATCAATCTTGTAAACAAGAAGCTTTCTTCTTTCCCTGCAGCTAATTCTATAAGCCACAACTACATGAGCAACAGCCAATGCTAACGAGCATACGAACAACGCCATCTCCATAACTCGAACATATCCTCCTCGATCCATACTCGAACTATGTGCAAACACATATGAAGCCTTCAAGGACACAAACACCAATGATGAAACAGAACAAATTGTAGCAATCCCCAAATATGGACCTCTTGATAACCTTGGTCCATCACATAAGCTATAAACACCTATAAATCAAAATCAAACAAAAAAAAATTCAATCTTTTCAGTATTCAACATCCCAATTGATCATAACTTCATAACCCTCTTGCCAAAATTACTCAATTTATCAAAAAAATCATCAAAATCTGAACTAAACAATTCAAAAATACAACATCCATCCACCTATCTAATTTATCATAACCGTTCGACAAAATGCTTGAATCAAATTAATCTAAAATTTTACTTACTATTAACTAAAACAACAAAAGATATTTTCCATCATGAACCAACTTACATAGAATGATGACGGACCTAACGATGGAGATGAGAGGGATATCAACAAGTGAATATCGAAAATCATAGTTGCTTAAGTGAGAAGAAAGAGATTGAATTGAAAGTGAAGACAGTGAAATTGAAGCAGATAATAAAAGTGAAGGAAGAAGTGTATCTGCAATTACAATAAGAATTGGTGCAGAAAACAGTAGAAGTGATATCAACATAGAAATCAAGAAAAAAAGAGTTTTGACCCATCTCAAAACTTTGGTTTTTCTATCTTCTTTCAAAAACCCCATCTCGAGAAGAGAGATTTCTTGAGGTTTTGGTGCAGAGAAAATGGTGGGAAAATGGAGAATTTTGAGAACGAAGGCCAAGTGTTTGATGATTTGACTCAGAGAAAATATTGAGAAGATGAATTGAAATATAACACGCATTAAGGTATCGGTCAAATATAGGAAGCTGCTTTATTGGGTTTCTCCATGTGGACTAACCGAATTAACTTTCATAAATCTTACCCACCAAAGGATGTACGAGTCGTTTCTTTCTTAATCAGATATCTCGATTTTAAATTTTCAATTTTTTTTTATATTAAGTATTTTTTTTGCGAATATATCGTGGCATAAATTTAAATTAATTGAGAATATAGGATAAATGGCTCAAAAAATCGAATAAGTTTATAACGATGTTATTGTCGAAATATTGTTATAGAGAATGAATTATATAACGTTACATGAAAAAGACCTTTTTTTTGTTTGATATGGTGTTGGAGTCGTTTCTTCTGTAATTTGAGATTTTAATTTCGAATTTTAAATATAACTTTTTAAAAAAATATTTTTTCGTCTCAATGGACTAACTACAATATAAGTTTTGAATATACAATAAGAAACTTGTAAAAAAAAGGGGTCAAAATCTCAAATTACTTTATAGTAATGTTGTTGTTATAATATATAACTTAACATAAAAAATGGATTTCAGTAAAGATTTGATTGTTACACTGAAATGTTGTTATATTGGGTATAAATTACAAATATATGTGTCATTTAACTTGGTGTTTATTGATATTTATGTTTTTTAATTTGGTGTGTGTATAAATAAGCATTTGAAGTATTATAAAGGTAAATAAATATACACTAATCTGCATGAAAAATCTCACGTGATTTTCCATGTAGGATAATTGCATCTCACGCTATTAGTTATTAGGACGTGTGTATCTACTTGTTTAATTATATGATAGTTAATATGTTTATGTGTGCACACTTAAAATTAAAAAGTATAAATATCAATTGATATCATATTAAACGATACATTTATTTATTATACTTTTTTATATATATGAATTAAATAAACTAATAAATACTACACTCCTAAATAGTTTTGATTTTTTTTAGAATTTTATTATCATAAAACAAAATTATATATCGTAACGGACATTAACACATTCTCTTTAATCTTGTGGAATTAAATATGTATATATTTTATCATTTTTCTAAGAAAGTATTAATAGAAAAAAATATTAATTTTTTTCCAACATCATAATTATATATAGGAAGAATTTTAAAATAGGAGATTGAAGCCTCATAAATACAATAAAAAATTCAAATAAATCAACTTAGCTACTACAATTTGTTCGGTATATGAAAATATTATTTTTAAAATAATAAAAATAACAAAAAAAAAAAGTTAAAATATAAATTGACACAGTGAAGCAAATATTTTGAGATACACATTTAAGTGAAAAGAATCTCACATTAATAGACTTGATGAATTATTAATATTTAATTAGCATTAAATACTTATACAAGTCAATTTTGGAGCCTGGAGGGGCGTTTCACTGTTGCAAAGTTTGTGTTCCATCGACTAATTAATATTTAAAATTCACTAATATTATACTAATTAATAGTAAATTTAAATTTATAATTAGAATTATAACATATATATTCAACATCAAAAAATTGAATAACAAAATCTTAATTGAATAATCAAACCTTTTTTTTTATATATATATATATATCTAAGTTTCTTGAAAATAGAAGCAAAGTTTACTGATTTAGTCGATAAATTTGTGTCAATCTTTTTTAAACTAATTACATAAATATTAAGTTCATGAGTTTAGTAATTAACATGAAAAATCGTAATTCAAAATTTCAAAACTGCTAAAATTAAAATTCTGATTTCATCTATAAAATATGTGCAAATTGCTTTAGCAAGATGATTTTAACAATTTAAACGTGTAATTTTTGTATAAATTTCTCTTTTAAAATTCTAAACAAAATTTGCTATAATTCTTTCTAGAAACTTCTCAATCTGACTTTTAGGAAAAAACTCAATTTGAAGGAAAAAAAACAATATTATTTCAATTGTAGCATCACTAATTTGAATATTTGTTTTTTTCTTTCTATATGAAACCCTACAATAATTTTCATTATTCCCTATTTATTTAATTTCATCACAACTAATAAATACCCTCAGAATATTAGCTCTAATTACCCACCTTCATGAATTTGAAATTATTTAATGAGAAATCATTAAAAGAAGAAAATTAGTTACTCTCGTATGTATGTAAAAATATCTTTTAAAAATACATATAGTAAATATTGAATTTTGATAGCTAATTCATATATTTATTTTTTTATATTTTAAATTTACTTGGTAAATTTTTTTGACTCCATCACTATAATTTGTACCAACAAAAGAATTACACGCACTAGTATGTTAATTCATTCACCAATTTATAAGATTTTGATAGATTTGACGTTTAATTAAAACGTAATTTATATTATATATAATTCGCTTAGTAAATTTTTGACTCGTACGCCGCAAAAGAGATAATATTTGCCTTTTCTAATATTCAATATTTGCATAGATGCTAGAACCTCCAATAGGTAGATTAGTCATTGGTTAATTAATTAGCACCATAATTAACTTCATTTTAGGTCAAAATTAAATTAATGTTTTGTTGACTAAAAAAAAGTCATAATCATGTCAATAAGATCTCAACCGCTACTTAATTTATTTGTAATAGAAATGTTCCAAATTCAAAATTTTTAACTTTATAAAACTACATATATACCTATTTTTGTAATTATTTATTGTGTTTATTTACTCTATAAATTGTACAAAATATCTTGATTGTACAATTTCAGTTAAGACACTTGAACCTCACAATTTTATCATCTTAAATTTTATTTTAACTATTAAAACAACTCAATAATTTATGACTCGCTGCGACTTATATACATAACTATTTATATACTATTTTTCGTCGTCAGAGTATTGTTTGTCATGATTTCTATTTTTACAGTTAAATTATAAAAAATTTTACTAACATTTTTAAGATGTATTTTTTCATCATATTATTAATATGCAAAAAATTGTAATTTATACTATTTTTTGTATAGTTTTAAAATATATATATTTTTTATTTACAATATTAAATTAATATAATATAATTTAACTTTAAAAATAAGTCAAATTAAAAAAAAAATTGATTCATTTGGACATTATTGTACCTAATCTAGTTCTATGAATATTGTAACAATGGACAGCAGCCAATATTGGAAAAGATGAAATAATATTGGACCAACTGAAAATTGTCTTTATTCAAAAATTTATGATGAATGGTGAATAGTTTATTCCTAATTAACTAGATTGATTTACAAGTTACGATTTCGTTGTTCGAACACTAAATATCTTTTATTTTTAATTTTAAGATTATAAGTTTGAATCACTCAATTATAAGGTTATAAATTCGAGTTATCAAAAAGATAGAAGGAAAAAATAACAAATATATTTTCGAACTATCATAAATTATTTGCAGATGGTCAAATACTCTCAATCATATTTTTGGTACATTAGTGGCTCTATGGTTCAAAAACTAGAGCATATGTATATACATTTTATACTAACGGACGTACATTTATCATAATCTTATTCACAGATACGATATTTGTTAAATATTAGATTAATAGATTAGATTATGTGGCGTATCCTTCTTTAGTCTTTTATTAGAATGGAAGGACATATATGCTATAGTTTTTACACGATAGAAACACTAATGTTTTAAAAAGCATAGCTGAAAATAAATATCTGTATATTACTTACGATAATTTGAAAGTGAAAAATTCGATATAAATTTTTGAGGAGTAAACTTTTGTTTTTTTAAATTTTATGTAAAATCAGAAGTCAGAACCATATAATTAAATTGAAACATGTAGAGAATAGAATAATATGATTGTTGTCTTGGAATTTGGTTGACACCATGTGGTAACATGCAAAAATTTTGTAAAATAAATTTATGTTTCATAGTTTAATCAAATTACAATTGGATTTTGCTATAAGTATATTTGAGATTGAGACATAGCTGTCATGAGACTATTTGGAGACTTATTTTGTCAAATATGTCATTAAATTTTATCATATGGTCCAAAGTTGAGGTAAATATTTTTCATGCTGTTATAATATTAGTCCAAATATACCTTTATTTGCCAACATGTGGTTAGTATTATTTTATTAATTTTTCTGTCACAACTTTACCTTCTTAGTAATACTATTTTAAATATTGTTAGATTGCTGTAAATAATTTAAAAATTGAAATTGAATCGATGAAATTATTGTAATTTTATCTTGAATATTGTTGCAAATGATTTAAAAGTTAAAATTGAATCGTTGAAATTCTATCAAACGCGAAAATTTAATTTATTGTGTATTTTTTACTTATTTGTTATAACATGATTTGATGCTTGCGAATAGAATACAAATTTTAGATAAAATCTATCAGAAATTGATTTGTCGATCGTACACATTCCCAACAAACTTTTTATTGGCAAATTTCACGTTGGATATTTTCTCGATATTGTCATTTTCTTTTGAAATAGTTAAGAATTTAACGATTAAAGATAAATATATTTTTAAAAAAGTATAATATATGAGTATTTGACATATGTAAATAAGATAAAAGTAGGCAAATATAGAAAGCAAAATAAGACTTTTACGTCTTACTAAATGGAAACAACAAAGAAATTTCATTATATTTTAACGTTTTTATGAAACAAAAGTTGGAAAATATTATGCTTCTAGAAGGCATTGCTTCTAGACATACATTTCTAAAAATTATTTAATTATATACTCCATTTCCTATAGTCTTTTTTTATTTGACCTTTTTAAAAAAAATTTGGTCTAAAATTATTGATAAATTAAATGAAGTTCTAAGAAGCTTTTATAACTTTTTATGAGTCAATTTAAGAAGAGATAAAGATTAGGAAAGAAATTATTATTATTTTCTTGTATCACAAGAAAAAATTGTTTAATCGTTTCCTACCATGTTCCATCTTTAATATACAATGAATTGGCACATAATATATATATATATATGTTAACTTGGTTTGTATCGTGAATTAATAATAAAATATTTTATTTTTGAAAATATATATCTAAATATCTCAATTCGTCTCTACAACATCAGTTGAATATTT